CCAGGTCCCGCTGCCTTTGTTCGCATGAACAAAGATGGCCGCGGTTTTCTCTGCCACGTGGCGTTCGACTGTACGAACGCTGGCCGCACAGACAGAGGTAGCAATTGAACCAGACTTTGATGTTTAACGAGCCAGAGGGGTGGTCTTTGTTCGGTAGTTACATCTACCGAATGCAATGGGCAGAAATAGTGTAACAAAAGGGAATGCAATGGATATACATAATACAACAAAAGGGGATTTCTTCACAGAGGGATTTAGATAGATTGGGGGACTGGGCACTAAAAAAGCAGATGAAATTTAGTTATGCACTTCGGGATCAAGAATGCACAAGCAACTTACACCCTGAATGGTAGTGATTAGCGATAACCACACACGAGAAAGATTTTGGAATTGTTATAGACAACACATTGGGCAGCAATATGCAATGTCAGTCTGCAGTTGCTAAAGCCAGTAATGTTTTGTCATGTATAAATAGGGGCATAAATTCTCGGGATGAAAATATAATTTTGCCTCTTTATAAATTGCTGGTAAGACCACACCTTGAATATGCTGTGCAATTTTGGGCACCTGTTCTGAAGACGGATATCATGGCACTAGAAAAAGTGCAGAGACGAATTACAAAATTGATAAAAGTAATAGAGCATTTTAGTTATAAAGAAAGGTTAAAAAATTTAAATCTCTTTAGCCCCTTAAGGACACAACCTCTGGAATAAAAGGGAATCATGATGGATTATTTCCATCATGTGTCCTTAAGGGGTTAATTTGGAAAAACGGCGCTTCAGAGGGGATATGATAACATTATACAAATATATTCGGGGCCAGTACAAACCATTATCTGGAAATCTATTCATAAACAGGGCTATACATAGAACACGAGGTCACGCATTTAGGCAGGAAGAAAGGAGATTTCATCTAAGGCAAAGAAAAGGTTTTTTTTTACAGTAAGAGCAATAAGGATTTGGAATTCTCTGCCTGAAGAGGTGGTTTTATCAGAGTTAAACAGCAATTGGATAAATACTTGCAAAAGCATAACATACAGGGATATCATTTCTAATTAGTGAGGAAATAGTTGCTTGATCCAAGGAGATATTTGACTGCTACTTTGGGTTCAAGAAGGAATTTTTTCCTAGTTTGTTGCAAAATTGGAAGCGCTTCAGACTAGGTTTTTTTGCCTTCTTTTCGATCAACAGCAAAAACATATGTGTGGAAGGCTGAACTTGATGTCTCTTTTCAGCTATGTAACCATGTAAAGTGATTTAACTCCTAAATGGCAGAGAATTGCTAATCTTCTGATCTGGATACCAGGTCAGTCTCTCTACCTTATATTCCAACTTCTCCACAATACAGAAGGGAAACATGTATTGATCAAGACTTTAGGTATCAAGACTTTAGGGGGCACTGAGTATAGATTAGTCATTAGGTCTTATTTGCAGGCAACTAAATTAATTAAGGAACCCTTGGGCCACCATAACAATTCCATTTCCATGAAGTTGTAATGGTGCCTGAAGGTCCTAGGCACTAACTTACTTTTTGGGATTAATTGATTTAAGTGATAAGCTGCATTATCTCTGGAATATTCAGATTTTTTTACATGTTTAAAATGCAATGCAATTTTATGGCCCATTTTTGTTAAATATTGAAACATATAATTAGTAATATGACTCTAGCTGGATATCAATACCCTGTATATATTGCTTGGCCCCAACACTTATAGTATTTTTCCACTACCAATATAAATATCGTGGTATACATCTACTTAAAAACTAGGCCTCATCTTTTCCGTTTCATGTGTCTGCTGGGATAACGTGATATTGCAGAGACATCGTTAAGGGATGCAGTGATTGGACTGCTTAGCCACAAGAAAGATAACAAGCCTCAGTATCTTTTCTGGTAATTAAATAAAAGTGCGGAACTTATTGCTGCCTATATTGATATAAATGCAGTGAGCCTGGGAATAAAATATAGCAATAGGAAACCATTATTATTTTTTCAAGTGGACAATTACATTTATGACAGTGCAGTAAAGCATAATTACTTTATATCCTGTGCAGCAAAAATCCATGTTGATGTCACTTTTGGGACCATGACTCAGCCTGCTGTAATGTGGAGATGTTAGTGCGCAGGACAAATTAAAAATGAATCAATGCAGCAAAATATAAAGGCTGAGTGAGGAGTGAGTCCGGATCGGTAGTCTCGCACCAGCTTTCTGCAAAGCTAAAGTTAAATGTTTTTTTCCCATTATCTGATTGTCTGATTAGGTTACTGTGTGGCAAAGTAAGGCCAGGTATTTGTATCTCTTGCTCTTACCGCCATAATCCCGGCAAAGCATCAAGGAAAATGTAGTCTGCAACATCTATAGTGCTGAAGGTTGCCTACCCCTGCTGTAGATTCTCTCTGTGAAATCAATGACTGAAACATCCAAGGGACAAGTTTGGCAAAGATCTGCTGGGGCACTGACTGGAGGTCAAACACATATTTAACGTCACCTGCGAAGTCATACATGCATTGAGTACTTTGTGTGCCGATACTAACTAGGTGTTTGTAGCATATCATGTACACTGGTCGTCTTATGACATCCACCAATGAGAGACACTCATATTATATTATATTTTCCAGCATTCACCTGAATCCCCAATACAGTGCACCAAGTCATACCTCATCTTATTTGTACTTAGAGGACACATTATATTTAGTTAGTTATTATGCAAGGCACAATGTTCATATCATTATCTGGCATTGTGTCTTTTAGTTTGCCATGATCCATCTATAGGATTGTTAATAGGTTTGAATATATTTGAGGTCTCTAAAATAAGGATTCTTTTTTAATGAATCAATTACACTGATTGTGGCGGAACCAACCTCGCCACTGGAGGAGCCTGGTCGTCTGCCGTTGGACTATGGCCCCATGTTTAACCCCTTAAGGACCAAACTTCTGGAATAAAAGGGAATCATGACATGTCACACATGTCATGTGTCCTTAAGGGGTTAAAGAAACACTATAGTCACCTAAATTACTTTAGCTAAATAAAGTAGTTTTAGTGTATAGATCATTCCCCTGCAATTTCACTGCTCAATTCACTACCATTTAGGAGTTAAATCACTTTGTTTCTGTTTATGCAGCCCTAGCCACACCTCCCCTTGCTATGATTGACAGAGCCTGCATGAAAAAAAAAACTGGTTTCACTTTCAAACAGATGTAATTTACCTTAAATAATTGTATCTTAATTTCTAAATTGAACTTTAATCACATACAGGAGGCTCTTGCAGGGTCTAGCAAGCTATTAACATAGCAGGGGATAAGAAAATCTTTTTTTTTTTAACCAATTAGTTTTTATTGAGATAATAAAGTGTGTGGGATACAGAAGGAAAAAAGGATAACAATCAAGGTTTTACAGCTCAGATATAGCCAAATATCCAACCTCCCATATCAATGCTCTCGTCAGTTACCTTGGGTAGAAAATAATAGTAACATGCAACTTTTAGCGAACTGTATCAAGCCCTACATGAGCGCCCTTGTGAAATGAGGCGTTTAGTTTTGGGCTGTCAACCTGGTAGAGCGCCCTTCTTGGCTCTTGGTTTCTCATGTGTATGCAAGAGTGTAAGCTATGTATATAGTCGAAGTGTGTTGGTCAGCGCAGGTCGGGGTTCAGGTCGGTGTCTTGGTGGGGATTCTCTCCGGTTTGTCAGGTTAGGAGGGCGTCCTCTAATTAAGGGGCCGATCTAGTGGACAGTCGTGAGGAGCCGCAGGAGCACTGGTGCTGGGTGGGGCGTGTCAACACCCTGTCTGCCGCGTCAGGATTGATATGGTTGTGTACCCGTCGAGTTGGTCAGGGTGCTCAGTGTGGGATGTCCGCCTGTCCCCCCCGTTGGACCTGAGTGTATTCCCAATCCAGGGTTTGGCTCTACGAGCTGTCCCTCTCTCCCAAGCCCCCCACCAGATCCCCCGTCCGGGCCATGGGTTCCCCCTATCCCCCGCATCCCCTGACCATCACAGTCATGCCAATGACCTCCTGACTGGGGGGAAGGAGAAAGAAAGAAAGAAAGAAAAAAAAAAAAGAGGGGGGAGGGGAGGCTGGTAGGCGGGTTCCTGTATCTCTTATGATCACTGGGGGGGCGGGTCAAGAGCTTCCCTGGTTCTCCGCTACCTAGTGGCAGCCGTCCCTGATCGCTGCGGTTCATCCCTGGGCTATATAGGTGCACCAAGGGAGCCAGGTGGTAGCACATTTGTCTCCCGTGCCGTGTAGCGATGCCGAGAGGGATTCCATACTGTATATGTCCTCCACACGTTCCATCCATTGCTCCATCGACGGTGGCTCCGTCGCGTACCATTTGGTGGGGATGAGAGATTTTGCTGCATTTAGTAGGTGTTTGGTCAGGGAGCGTTTGTATGTGGCTATAGGGCGTGTGGTGTGGTGGAGTAGCATCGGCAAGGGCTGGAACGGTAGGTCCGGGTCCGCGATGCTCTGAATTTTGGAATGTATTTGTTTCCAGTACTGCTGGATTGTAGGGCACAACCACCATATATGGTAGTCTGACCCACCCTCGGCCCCGCACTTCCAGCATACGTCAGGAGTTTCTCGGTTCATGCGATGTAGTTTCTATGGGGTTCTATACCAGTTGACCATAATCTTGTAGTTAAGTTCCTGCAATTTTGAACTGAGCGTGCCTTGGTGTGTTAGCACGTGGATCTTCTCCCATTGTTGATCTGTTATTGGTTGGTCTGTAGCGTGTTCCCAGCGGGACATATATCGTGGTGGTGTGCGTGGTGTGGCGGTGAGCAGTAGGGTGTAGAGTCGTGTGATTCCTTTCAGTGGTCGGTCCCTGGCCGCGCACATGTGCTCAAAGGCGGTTAGTTCTCTATGAAATAGGTGTTTGCCCACCGTGGTTCGGTAGAAGTGCTGGATCTGATGATGGCCGAACCTGGTCATTAGAGAGACGGTGCAATCTGGGATCAGTTCCCTCAGTGTTTTCAGTCCCGTTGCGGAGCATAGCTGTTTCATTTATGTCCAGTCCGGGTCCCCGAGTCCCAACACATCCCCAGGTCGCAGTACGTCCGCGATATCTGGGTTATGGGTAATAGGGGTCAGAGGACCCGGCGTTGTAGTGAGTCCGTCCTTCAGGCGAGTAGTAACCCAAACTTGCATCGTAGCCCGGATAAACGGGTTGAGGGTCATTCTGGGGTCCTTTAGGGGGTGCGCTGTCCATACCGCGGCTGGCAGCCTTCGATCCACTTGTAGGTTCTCCAGTTCCCTCCAGAGCTTGTCTGAGTTTAGTGTGTGCCAGTCCACCAGCCGAAGCAGGTGGGTGGCCCTGTAGTAATGAACTAGTGAAGGGAGGGCTAAGCCCCCCATCCTCTTGGGCAGAGACAGGAGCGCCCCGTTAACCCTAGGTCGTCCCGTCTTCCACACAAATTTTATCATCGCAGTATTGAGTGTCTGAAAGAAGGTCCTGGGTATCAAAATTGGTACGGTCTGGAAAAGGTAAAGTAGTCGAGGGAGGAGGTTTAATTTTAAGGCATTGATTCTCCCGAACCATGAAATGCACAGGCCGCCCCAAGTCGTCATGTCATGCTGTAGTGTGCGGAGGATGGGGACAAAGTTCTCCTGGAATAGACGCGTCGTGTCTCCGGTAAGCCATATGCCAAGGTATTTGAGCTTATCCGCACACCACTTAAATGGGTACTGTGTCCGTAGGTGAGTCGTGTCTGCGGCAGTTAGATTTAAGGGGCAGGCTTCCGATTTCTCAGCATTGAGTTTAAGGTTAGAGAGCAGGCTGTACTCCCGGAACCTTGCTAGTAGGTTCGGGAGAGAGATGAGTGGGTTGGCAAGGAAGAAGAGGAGATCATCCGCGTATGCCGCAACTCTCTGCTCCAGACCTTTATAGACGAGGCCCGTGATTCCCCCATCCCGTCTGACCGCCCCCAGGAATGGTTCCAGGGAGAGGGCAAACAGGAGGGGGGACAGCGGGCACCCCTGTTTCGTGCCATTACGGATGTTGATTAGCTGTGTTAGGGCCCCATTGATGCGCATACGGGCTGTTGGTGTCGTATAGAGGGCCGTTATCCAGGTCATCATGTGGGGCCCAAATCCCATCGCACGGAGCGTCGCCAGCATGAACCCCCAGTCCACCCGATCAAACGCCTTCTCGGCGTCGGTCGAGAGGAGGAGGACCCCCTTCCGGCCGCTCCCCGCCAGATGGATCATGTTGAGGGCCCTGATGGTGTTGTCGCGTGCCTCCCTGCCGGGAATGAATCCCACTTGATCCGGGTGCACCAGGTCCGGCAATATGCGCCCCACCCGCAAGGCCAGTATTTTAGTGAACAGTTTCAAATCAGAGTTGAGTAAGGAGATCGGCCTGTAACTGGAACAGTTCGTCAGGTCCTTTCCGTCTTTTGGGATAAGAGAGATAGTGGCAGCCAGTGTATCTCTCGGGAGGTGGCCGCCTTCTAGTAGGTGATTCAGGGTTCCCAGGAGGTGTGGCAGCAAGATGTCTTGAAACTTTTTATAATATGCCGCGGGGAGGCCGTCCGGGCCTGGCGCCCTATGGGCTTTGGCTATCTTAAGAGCGTATTTGAGTTCCTCCAGGGAAATGGGTTCCTCCATTTCAGTCCTTTGGACGTCCGTAAGAGTCCGGGAGATATGTTGTTCCAAGTAGTGCGCGATCTCAGTTTCCCGCCTCTTCCGGGCTGCTGCACCTCGCGTTTCTGGGATGTTATATAAGGCCATGTAGAAATGGTGGAAGGCCGTCGCTATTCCGTCTGGGCGTTGAGTGAGCACGCCAGTCTGGTCCCGGATCTTGGTTATGTTTGTGAGTCTCCGTTCCCTTTGCAGGCGCCTGGCCAGGAGCCTCCCGCATTTGTCCGAGTATTCGTAGAAGTGTCGTCGGGATCTGCGAATGGTTCGGAGAAGGCCCTGCGAGAGCAATTGCTTGAGGTTTCTCCGCGCCTCCAGGAGTTCTCTGTAGGTATCCTCTGATAGGGTAGACTTATGTAGGGTTTCGAGGGTTGCCACTTGTTGTGCCAGGTCCGTGACTGCTTGCCTTTGGGCCTTCTTTCGTTGGGTACAATAACGTATGAGATAGCCGCGGATCATACATTTATGAGCCTCCCATATCATCGATGGTTCCACGTCTGGGGTGGTGTTCTCCTCAAAGTACTTCTGCAGTGCGTCACCCATCCCCACCGTCGCCTCCAATTCCTCCAAGACCTGCTCGTTGAGCCGCCACTGCCTCTCCCGTGGCCTGTACAGCGGGGAGGCAATCTTAGTCCAGACCGGAGCGTGGTCCGACCAGGTTGCCGTGTGGATCCCACTGGATTGCAAGAGCGAGAGGTATTCAATGGGGAGGAAGATATAGTCCAACTGACTGTAGCGAGTGTGGACCGCAGAGTAGTAGGAGTAGTCCCTCCTTAGTGGGTGAGCCACTCGCCACGAGTCCGCCAACCCCGCGTTCTTGAGGGCCACAAGGGCCTTGCGTTGGTAGGAAGACGGTAGGGAGCTAGTTCCTAAGGAGGTGTCTAGCCGTGGGTCCAGGGCTAGGTTAAGATCCCCCGCTAGGATCAGCAAGCCTTCTCTGAAGCGTTCCAGGGCATGCAAGGTGCGTGTCAGGAAGTGGTGCTGTGCCGTATTGGGTGCATAGACACATGCCAAGGTATAAGGGTGTCCGGCAATCGTGCCTTTCACGAATATATATCGGCCTTCTGGGTCCGCCAGCTCAGCTTGGCTTTGAAAGGGCACTCTACGGGCTATGAGAATTGCCACCCCCGACTTTTTGGCATGTGGGTGGTTGGCAAAGTATCCCATCGGGAAGCGGGTGTCTCGCAGCACCGGTGCATTTCGCCCCTGGAAGTGAGTTTCCTGGACGAATGCTAGAGACGCGCGTGCCGCCCACAGGGTGCGGAGAAGGTGCGAGCGCCGTTCCGGGGCGTTAAGGCCCCGAACGTTGTTTGACCACAAGCAGAGATCCGCCCGTTGAAATTGACCTGCCATCGTCCTTGGATAGGGGGCGTGGGGAGGGAGGTTAAACCGGTAGCTGTAAAGGAGAGAAAGGGGGAGCGCGAAGGGAGAGAGGGAAGAGCGTAGTAGAGAGAGAGAGGGAGTAAAAGAAAGAGAGAGGAGGTGGGGACTGAGAGCGAGGGCCAGTCAGGAGTCAGGTCTCGGTGCTGGTCAGGTTCCGCAACCAGGAGTCGGCCCCAGGTCCCTTATCTCACCCCCCCCCCGTCCCCGCACCTCTTCCTAGGTGTGAGGTGCCGGTATTGGCTCAACACACTTGGTGTCTACCTGGGGGGTCAGTCCAACTGTCGTCAGTCGTCCCTAGGTCGCACCTTGGGTGTCTGTACAGGTGTGCGTCTGCCCGTGGGGGATGTCTGTAGTCAAGGGTTCGTTACCTTGTCGTGTGTGGTACTGTGGTGTCCTCAGCCGTCCATGGCCGTCACCGCCCTACCAGGTAGTGTAATCCCCGCAACCGAATACTGTGAAGGTGCGGACAATATGTCAAACTGATTGTGTGAGAGCACTGTGAATAGATCTAGGACCCCGGAGGGATCCAATCTCTGCATCGTAAGCACACCCCGTGCCCCCCCTAACTCTTATATGAGCCCCTTCCGGGCATGCCCTGCGGGCCAGAACCCCCCCCACCACCCCCCAAGACCCACAAGCCCCCCCCAACCCCCACCCCCCCAGCGGCACCGGACACACGCTCTAGGGCACAGTCCTCCGCTCCAGTCCGAGGCATAGTGCTCACGTGGCAAGTCGCCCCCACCCCAACCCCCCCGCCCCCACCAGGAGCAAGTCACACGGTCCATCCCCCCCCAAACCCCCACATCCCAATCCAATGGTGCCCCCAGGCCAGTGCCCCCCGGAGGGGCCAGAGGGGGGGGAGGGGGACACGAGGGGGGGGGAAGGGAGGGGGAGGGGCGAGGGAAGGGGAGGGAAAAAGGGGGGAGGGGGGGGAGAGGGGAAAAGGGGGGGAGGGGAGAGGGGAAAGGCCCACCAACCGCTACAGTTCATGCAGAGGGGCCACGGGGCATCCGCCCCGACGCATAGTCAAAGTTCCACATCACTCCTCCGCCCCCGCTGGTCCTCCCCAGCGGCGCGGCGGTGACATCCGGCTCAGGTGGGTTGCAGAGGGCTGCAGGCCTGTGTCTTCTCCCCTTCGGGGGCCCAGCGGCTCATCCAGCAGCCAGTTGCGAATTCGGATAGGAGGAAGGTGAAGTGCCCGAGTGAATCTCGGGGCATCATCTGGCATCCTGAGTGTGTGCCAGGAGGATCCCTGCTGGGCTTGTAGGCTGAAGGGAAACCCCCACTTGTAGGGAATCCCCTTGTCACGTAGGGCTGCTGTAAGAGGCCGCAGCGCCCTCCTGGCGTCCTCCTGGAAGAGCGCCAGATCAGCTCCCCTGAAGGTGACTGTCGGTAAGTTCCTGGCTGCCGCCATTATCTGCTCCTTCTGCGGGAAGGAGTGGAGACAGCACACCACATCCCTGGGTCTACCGTCCGGCCTAGCTTGTCCCAAGGCGCGGTGGGCCCGGTCTATGCGGATGTTAGGCGGTGCGTCCGGACCTAGGAGCTGGCAGAAGAGCTGTTGCAGGGTGGTCGCCAGTGGTTCTGTATCAGGCTCCGGCAGGCCCCTGATCCGGACATTGTGCCTCCGGCTGCGGTTCTCCAGGTCCTCCACCTGGCGTCTGAGGCTCAGCAGCATATTACCCTGTCTGGTGGCCGCTGTCTCTGCTGCTCGGTGCTGCTGGCAGCAAAGCCGTTCTTCTGCCTCCACTGTGTCCACTCGCTCCATGAGGGCCGTGAGGTCTGTACGGAGGCCCTGCAGATCCTCCCGGACCGCATCCCTTATCTCCCGGACCAGGGCCCCCGTGTCTGCTTTAGTGAGCATGCAGCTCCCTATCCTCGAGAGCTCAGCCCTGATGGCATGGAGGGCATCGTCGGGGCTGAAGTCGGGCACGGAGTCCCCCCCGCTAGTTGCACTGGGGGAGACAGCCGCCATATTGTCAGAGGGCGCCGTGCCCCGGAGCCCGGCCGGGGTGCTTAGGAAGTCATCCAGGGTGCCCGTACCGCGTCTCGGTGATCCCGGTGGCATGCTCCCGGCGCCGGTATGCTTCTTGGTCCGCACCATCGCTTTATATAAGGGGGTATATTGCTAATTATGGTGGTTTGGGCCTAGGAGCTCGGCTAGTGTGCGACTGGCGCCATCAACGTCCAGGCCACGCCCCCGATAAGAAAATCTTAATTAAACAGAACTTGCAATAAAGAAAGCCTAAATAGGGCTCTCTTTACAGGAAGTGTTTATGGAAGGCTGTGCAAGTCACATGCAGGGAGGTGTGACTAGGGTTCATAAACAAAGGGATTTAACTCCTAAATGGCAGAGGATTGAGCAGTGAGGCTGCAGGGGCATGTTCTATACACCAAAACTGCTTCATTAAGCTAAAGTTGTTCAGGTGACTATAGTGTCCCTTTAACACTGTTCTTTTTCCCTGCAGAAAGGCTGGTTCGTGCCTTTCTGCGGACTGTTAAAGTCACGAACACCGCTGAGCCGCTGACCTCCCTTCTCCTACCTGCAGTCAATTATCCGAACACCGGTCCATTCGGTACTTTACTGTTTAAACCATGCTACCCCAGATAGCTATGCCATGGAGCCCAGCCGTATACTGAAAGACTGTATAAAAGACTTTGGCTCCATGGCGATTGAACTGTATGTATGTGATCTGAGCGCCATCCGGTAATCATGTGCGCTCAGATCTAAGCTATCTGGGGATAGGTAGAATGTGTATGTTTTATGTGATAAATGTAACAGTATGTATTTTTATGTCTGTTATTGTCCTTTGTCTGCCATGTGGTTAATGGAGTTTTGCCTCTGTCCTTTGAGATAATTGGATTACTTCCCAATTATCTCCAGGACAGAGAGGAGGGATTGTGATGCATTGTGGGATTGTAAGCTTGTGATTGGTCAATGTCCAATATGTTTCCCAGTCTTCCATCTAGTCCCCTAGGGGAGTGTCCACCTGGTGGAAGACCTGCATAAAAGCCGGGCAGGTAGCCCCAGTAAATCAGTTCTGCTTGACCCTCAAAACGAAGTGTTGTCTCATTATTGGGGGAATTGGATTGTATGCTGCTTCAGACCGATTGCCAGGAGTGTAAGCTGTTCGCATGGTTTTTCCTGTTCAGCTGTTTACAGCATTCGTGTGTTTCTAGGCCCAGAGGAGGCGGGCTGAAAGCTAGCCGGATAGGAGGCATGTGTGGGTGTGGTGGGTGTAGGTGTCACAAGTGGGGGTGTCACTTAGGTTAGAGGTGGGGTGGGGTCATATAAATAGCAGTCATTTTGTCCCCTTACCTCAGCCATCTTAGAAATAACGGCTGGTAACATCTTCCCTTTGCTGCCTGTTGCCACTGCTTGTTTCCACGGCCAGGGCTATGGATATTGATGCTATTCTTGCTGCCCTCAGCCCTTCAAGATGGTGGCCGGCACCTGCAGTCTCAGCTGGCACGGCTGCAGGGTGCTGCTGTTATGGCTGCTCCCTCTTCCAGCAGTCATGGTGCCCAGCGGCGTCGTGCACGCCCCCCTACCTGGTATAGCCTCTCGCAGGAGGGTCGGGTGAGGGGCAGGAGCAGGAGCCCGGTTGCCGGCCCACGCACCGGGTCCCACGCGGTCGCGGCCGGCCCTGCTTCCCGCGCTCCCAGCACCTCCTCCCCGAGTGGCTCTCGGGGAGGCCGGCAGGTGGCCGCACAGCGAGGTAGCGCGGACCACGCTGTTTCAGACCTACCACTCCCTCCGGTCTCGCGGGCTATGAGGAGGGCGGCCGCGAGACCACAGGATAGGAGCTCGCGGGTGGTGCAACGTGCACCAACTACCCGCTCTGCGCGGACAGGATCTCCTGCGGGCTCTGGGGGCAGGTAGCCCCCTCTTCTGGACGGGTGAGTAGGCCGCAGGTCGGCAGGGCTTTCTCCAGGGGGGTGGGGGGTTCAGGGGGCAGTGGCAGGGAGCCTGATCGCCTAATCTTCACAGCAGCCCCCCCCCGCTGCTCTCCCTTCCCACTCTGTCTCCCCTGGGCCTGCACCTACCACTACTTCTACTGTTCCTCCACCTTCATCTGCTCCCTTGATGGCTGGGGCCCATTCTGCTTTCTCTGGGCCTGCCCCTGCCCCTGCCCCTCTCCCTTCCTCCTCACCTGGCCCCCTCGTGGCTGGGGCAGTTTCTGGTTCCCCTGGGCCTGTCCCTGCTGATCTATCTGTCCCAGTCACTCTCACAGATGGATCCCATTCTGCCCCTCCTGACCCTACACCTGCTGGTTTCCCATCCGCTTCCCCAGGCACCTTCACGGCTGGGGTGGGTGGGCTGGGTTCCTTTTCACCTGTAATGTCTTCACAGATTACTCTGGTCGACTCACGGTGCGGTTTCCTGATGCTGTGATTGGTGCAGTTTCCTGATGCTGTGATTGGTGCAGTTTCCTGATGCTGCGCATGGGGCGGCCTACATGTGCTGGTCAGGCCCGCTGGGCCTTCATTTGACTTCGGACTTGCGAACCAAGGTAGAGAAAGGGGAATTTGTAGAAATCTTTTCTCTCCTCCCTATGGAGGACCTGCCTCGGGTCGATCCAGATGCAAAGGAGTCAGAGAAGGACAAGGAAAAGTTTAGGTATCGGAAGATACCAAAAACTTTTGGCAATTGGATTAGGGCTTTTTCTATCCTGGCTAGTGTAATAGGCGAAAAGACTCCTAACAAATGCTCTTCCCTGTTTTGCTAACAGGATATGATATGGAATGCGTGCTGGATTTATGGCGGGTTAGGCTGGTGGCGTTATGATGAGCAGTTCCGCCAACGCTTAGCAGTTCGCCCTTCCCTGGGTTGGGATCAAATGGATATCGGCTTGTGGTTGGCCATCATGACCTGCCCGGCATCGCATCAAGGGGGCCTCTCGTCCTTTCTTGGGGGGGGCGGCGCTGGCTCCTCAACCACAGCGTCGGCCAGTCAGCGCAGAACGGGC